AAAAAAGGACACAAAAAGCTTTACCGACGGCAGTCACGCCCTGCACTGGAGTACCGCCGACTGTGTGCTTTATCCTCGACACCAACACCAAGCTGGACGACGTCTTCTGCACCGAGCAAGAAGATCTTGCAACCTTTACTGCTAAGCTCTTGCACCTGGCAGTCGATTTCTTCCTCAACTTCGAGCTTATTCATCCGTTTCGAGACGGAAACGGACGGGTCGGAAGGCTCCTGCTCACCTATCTCCTCTCCAGCATCACACCTCAGCTGGCCCCCAACAATGCGTACCTGGTGGACAGTGAAGACATTGTTGACTATGGCTTGTACCGCAGCTGCTTTCAGGAGGAGGGGCAGCACGCATCGTCTTCAGAGACCCGAGATCCCGGCCGACTCATTGCCATCTACACCGAAGGCCTCTATGTCGGCTGGAAGAAGTTTTTCGTGGCGGCGGGGATGGAAGCTCCACAAACGTGTAGGATTGATGATGATCCAGCTCACCTGGAAGACAACACTCTCAGTGAAGGCTAAAGCCGCAGAGACTTACCTTGGCATAGAGAACGAAAAAAGTTAAGCAACAGGAGATGGATCTCCAGTGGCGTGACGCCCTTGAGTGGCTTATCCACAACAGTGAGGATGTTCGCGCCATGTACCTTTGGAGAGCGTAGACGTCCACTGAGACAAGCATCGAGCTAGCAGCCACACAAGATGAACAATATCTTGGCGACGCGAGCAGTAACGTATTGGATTCTATAAAGAAGAAGAGAGAACCTGTCATTGGAAAGAATCTATAGGTTGAAAGCTTATCAACGCACCAGAAAAACAACAATCTCCAAAAAGTGGAGTTCCTGTGGCATCGATAGCCATCTCAATGCCTGGCGGAAGCTAAAGCAAACAAAGAAAGGAAAAAAAAACATACGAAAAAGCTATGAGAAGCTTGAAGAGAAGAAATGAGAGATCGCAGCCCCGACCTTTGCGGGAAGAGCGTTGGAGCTTCGCCCCATCTGCGAGCTCCACCCGGACGGCCATATTCGCCAGTGCCTCGAGCTCCAATCCGCGAGGAATATTTCCGGACCTAGCGAATGCGGCCGGATTCGCGATGTCGCGGCTGGCGTGATCGATCGCCCCGGCTGCATTTCCCGCGCTTCTCCCACGGAAGAACCCTAGAGCTAGAGAATATTCTGGAAGGAAGAGGGTATAAAAGGGCGGGGCTTGTAGTATTCTTCTTTTGTGCTAGTAGTGATGGCGCTAGGGTTTCGGGTCCCGCTTCGTCCGGCTTGGCGCTGGAGCGATCTCACCACTGACGCCATGGCTGATGCTATATCGACGAAGATCGCGCAGCCGCTGCCGCCGGAGCAAGATCGTGCGATGCTCGCGCTGTTCGTGATAGGTAGGGTGTAGAGGCGCTGCTGCTGCGACGGGCGATTCACGACGCATGGACAAGGAAAGACGGGGCAGCGCTGCTCCAGAGAAGTCTAGTGATCTAAGCGGGTGTGGGAGATGAATGCAGGTAAAAAGCTAGCTAGGAAAAGATTAAAGGCCTTTTAACATTGGTCTTATGTAGGAATGGAGGCTGTAGCCGAGACGGCGGTGGCGATTGGAGCAAGCGACGGCGATGGAGGCTTTTACGTGGACGAGGACAAGAAGCGGCGGCTTGTGAGCTTTTGCAACGGGCTGGAAGATATTAAGGATTGGATCTCGAAAGATAAGGAGCTGAGCAGCCGAGTGCCCGTGCCCCACCTCTCCATCTGGAGGATCAAGAAGCTCCACACGGTGGTTGTCGCGAGTCCGACAGAGGAGGATGTGCGGATAGGTGACTATCGGATCCAGCGAGCTTGGATAAAGCAGCTGGATGGCACATTGTCGAGCGAGAGAGTGGCACCGGAGATGATCAGGGAGGAGATGGAGCTGCTAGTGGCCGCCACCAACAGCGAGCTGGAGAACGTGTACTACGCGAGGGAGATGGGAAGTGCTGCATTCGTGGTGGACGTGGCCAAATTGGCAGCGGGCTTCTTCTTGGAGTTCCAGGCGATCCATCCCTTCGGTGATGGGAATGGACGGCTTGGACGACTGCTGCTCACGTACCTGGTCTCGGGAGTCACTGGCCTCCACTTCCCCCTTACGCTGCTGCTGGATGTTGGCCCGACAGAGCGGCACTTGGGCGAGGCGAGTTTGATCGGTAGGGAGGAGTGGCGGTCCTTACTCACGCGGGCCTCGGCGAATGCGGAGGATTTGAGTAGTGTTCCGCCGGCGAGACATGGACAGTATCTCTCTGTTCTCACGCGCGCAGGAGCCACGGGAAGTCCGGGAGAGCTCGCAGCTCTCATTGTGGAGGGCATCTTCGTTGCTCTTTGCCGCTTGTAGATAGACGCCAAACTCTTTTGGAATTACGAGACGAACGTTTGTAGCCCTCTCTCTCTCTCTCTCTCTCCCTGAGATCCTGGGATCAGCAGGGAATGACGAGGAGCCTCTCTCTCTTTCTCTCTCGCAAATTGACGTAGGAGTCCTGCAATGCCACTAAGATTCCTTGAAAACCCAAAGCAACTCCCACGTCACGGAGTAATCAAAGCCCCGCGGCAATCACTTTTGAATTCCAGTTCCAGGCCGGGTGAGGGCTCGTCGAATACCGCTGTCGCTCCATCACCAGAATCACCAGCAGCACAAGAGTCCTCTCCAGCATCCACAAGATGCACACAACTCGTTCTTTGGTGTGTCTACTACAAACAAAGCTAAGCCCTCCCAGATATGAAACCACTGTAACTCTCCCACGTTGAGAGACTGAAGAACAGTTGTGTCGCAGTGTGGCACTGTGCTTGGTCATCTGACCCACAGCTGGAGCTTTTATCTACGTACTTGATGAAGATGACGCACTAGAGATATAATGATCATGACAAAGATCACACCACTTTGTGAGAAAATGCCATGTATAAGGAAGCGTGAAGAAACGAAATGTAAATCTATGTGAGTCCATTGATGAAGAATGTAGCATTTCTCGTCAAAGCCTGGAGGTTGTTCCATGTAAATCAGTTCAATGTGCTCTTGACATCCATGGCATGAACCTCTAGGTCCCAAGCATAGGCAATAGAAAGTATTACACCCAAGGAAGCAGTTTAGCCGCACAAGAGAAAAAAACTCCAACTCCCTTCTTCTGGCAGAATGCTTCATCGACCAAGCAAGCTTTAAATCTAAAGATGGACCCATCAGTGTTGATTTTAGAACCACATTACAAGGATTTGAACTTATCAACCATTGCTGTTGTCCACTGCTCTGAATCAGGTTTCTCTAGAGCTTCTTGTAATGTGGACGAGTCATCTAGCAATGTAGCATTGTTAGCTTGGTATTGTAAGAGGTATCTTTCATTTGGTTTCCAACAATGGAGATGGCTAAGGTTTGGACTTCATTCTGTCCACAACTCAAAAGGTGTGGGACCTCCAACAGAGTGTGAATTGCTTCCCCCAAAAAACTAGATGAGATGTTTTTCTCTCTCATCATAGTGTGTGCTGCTTCCATGACAGTGCACATCTTATACTCTATAACTCCATTTTGCAAAATTATTCACTATAGAAATTTGGATGAACTGATTGTTGCTATGCCTTGTTTACTTATAAGCCCTTTTTTGGGCATGTGACAGTTGGTACAAAAATGAAAGCAAACTATATAACTTACCTCAGTAATGATTATTTAGATGTTAGATGCATAAGCAAATTAAGATTTAGAGCTTTGGCACAACTGCTAGAACTTGTTAATGGGAGTGCATTTTTGTTTGGTGTCGCTGAACATGCTTATGAAGCATATAAAAAATAAAAAGATCAAAATTCTAAAAACTATCCTTTAAAAGGGTTGACAATTAGGAAATATGTGTCCCAATAAAAAGAGATTTGATAATCTTATACAAAAAGTCAAAGTTGAATATGTCTGTATTAGCCACAAGGTTAAGAATAATAGGATTGTACTATTGACTTAGGGAATCTGGACTGGTTAAAAAATTTAAATTCTATTTATGTGAAGAATAGTTAAAATTTAAAATCCCAACTCCATGCTGAGCTTGTCTAGGCACATACAAACTTGAAAGACTTGATTGGGCTGGAGCTCCCGACTGCACAAACTTCCTGGCTGGAATTCAAGCCTGTAGTTGAGCCCATGCAGTTGGGCTGGCTAAAGAGGAGACCAAACTGTCCATCAAACGTGAATCTATAACCAGCCGGAATGGCAGGCACGCACAAATTGGAGCATGTAGGACCTGGTGTTCCTGCTCTGAAGCTTACTCCTGGATCCTGGCAGCCCAGTAGATAAACATCCAGGGTACTGTTTCCTTCAATGCATATGAGCAAAGCGCCAATCATAGACAGCAGCAGCGACAACTTGCAGAGAGGAACTACTTCCTGCGCATAAAAATTGGACAACGCTTAGCTTGACAACAGATGAATCAAAGAAACAATTCTATGAACCATTGCTCCTCAGTAACACAATGCTTGAATAGGATGGGAGTTGAAGAACTAGTGTTCCCTTTTTATAGGAGGTTGAAGTGCTCGTGGGTTGCGTGGATGATCATAATTTATATCAATTTGGATCCATGATCATGATCTAGCTGGGTCTTGCAGAAGAACATGCGTTTCGCGAGGATTATTTTCTATTTTGTGCTTAACGTGTCCAACTCATTATACGTGTATGTAGCGTGTGGTGTAATTTTATAATCCTCGAGTGCGTGTGCTGCACTGCACTGCACGATCATGATCAGAAACTAATCGCGACCTCATATAAAAAGAGAAGTCCCGTTCTTCAATTATAGTTCATCCTTGGAGAAATGGTCAGGCTTACACTTTGCAAAGTACTAAACCTATTAACGTCTCTTTGCCTTTTATCAGGCACTCAAGCTCTTGAAGATCATGGCAGCAGTGTTGGTGGTGATTACAATGGAAGCTATCTCAATTCCTCAAGTTGATGGAAACAGCAAGCTCGATGTTTACGTGCTCCCGGGTTGCCAAGACCCAGGAGTGAGCTACACGGCCCAGCCCAATCCTTGCACGGCGGTATGTGTGGCCACTCCACTCTTCTATCGCTTCACATACTTAGGCCAAGCTGCACTTTTCTATGACCTGCCCAATTGTTCTGGCACTCCAACCACAGTTCGATCGAATGTGTCACTCTGTGATGCGGCGCAGGTGAGACCATTGCAGAGTGTGAGATTCACATGCAGCCCATGAAGCAGTGAAACGAAATAGAATATAAGGAACAGTCGTGGCACATATATCTTGTTAGTGGGATCCAGGATTCCCGTCGTGTTCTGTAATAATGCGATGCTCGCGACTGGAGAGTGATAACCTCTATGATCATGACTCTCTATGACTCTGAGGTATCTCATCTCCTGAAGTCACCGTTGCTCGTCTTTGTTCGGACTGTAAACTCACGGGAAACAACTTTTTGGCGCCGAATCTTCCATGAAATGGTTCCCGCAAGGTATCTTGGGCCCCGTTGTGATTTGCTGAGTTTTTGACATCACCAACTACAACATTATTATGCGTGCACTAAAATGATCTAAGGCTACATAGAGCATGGAGAGTTGGTCTGGAGCTCTTTCACAAGAATGCAACAATGTCACATTTGTTGCAAAACTAAAGATAGATCACAACAAAGAAATGTTTTGAGCATACTCTCTCATAAAGAATAAAGACTAACACACAAACTTGAATGACTTGATTGGGCTAGAGCTCCCCACTGCACAAACTTCTTGGGTGGAAGTCAAGCGCGTAGTTGAGCCCATGCAGTTGGGCTGGCTGAAGAGGAGACCGAACTGTCCATCAAACGTGAATCTATAGCCAGCAGAAATGGCAGGCATGCACAAATTGGAGCATGTAGGGCTGATGTTCCTGCCCCGCAGCTTACTCCAGGATCCTGGCAACCCAGTAGATAAACATCCAGGCTACTGTTCCCTTGATGACGCGAGAACTGAACTTCCTGTGTTTAACAAAAAGGCTTGAGAATGGATGAATTAATGCTTCTATGAACCATTGCTCCTTAGCAACAGGCTTCTGGAAAGCTAGGATGAGGAGTTGAACTAGTGTTGTCTTCTTCATAAGTGTTTGAAGTGCTCGTGGGTCGCGAGGATTAGTTTCTCAAGTATAATTTATGGCAATTTGGATGCACGATCGTCACGCGCTCCGCAAGGATTTTTTTTCTCATATTACTTACACCACACTATACAGTAGTCTGGTGTATAGCTGAACAGACTTTACAAAAAACAAAACATCCTCGCGGAGCACGAATTAGATCATGCCAATTGTTATAAATTATAATGAATTACCTTGCGACATACGAGCACTTCAACTCCTATAGAAAGAGAACACTAGTTCGTCAATTGCAATCCATCCTTGGAGAAATGGTTTGGCTACACCTTGCAAAGTATTACCTAAATAACATCTCTGATCAGGCACTCAAGCTCTTGAAGATCATGGCAGTGATTACAATGGGAGCAATCTTAATCACTCAAGTTGATGGGAACAGCAAGCTCGATGTTTACATGCTCCCAGCTTGCCAAGACCCAGGAGTGAGTTACACGGCCCAGCCCAATCCTTGCACCTCGATATGTCCACTCTTCTATCGCTTCACATATTTGGGTCAAGCCGCATTTTTCTATGATCTGCCCGATTGTCTTGGCACTGCACGCAGAGTTCAATCGAATGTGACCGTCTGTGATTTGGGGCAGGTGACACCATCGCAGAGTGTGAGATTCTCATGCGGTCCATAAAGCAGTGAAACGAAATAGAATGTAAGAGGTGCCACATATATGTTGCTGTAGGAACAAGGTGTTCGCTGGTTGGGACTGAAAGCTACGGATATACAACATCCAAGCTCCCCAACATGTTACAAAGGCCTAACCAGAGTAGTGAACCAGCTATGGGGCTTCTCTAGAAGCATCGTTTCTAATCTTTTCGAGCATAAAAGCGCATTTTGATTTTCACCATACTTGTCGAGAAGAAACTAGAACTGTCAAATCCTATCCACGACTTCTTGTCCCGATTTTGAAGAATTCCAAAAAGGATACTTGTTACCTTGCAATCACAGGTTGTGACGGCCTCGATCTTCGTCTGCGAGCACAGAAAATTTGGAAGTTGATAGTGCAAGTTTGACACCTAACTAGCTGCAACTGCTGGCTGCTAAAACCACTGAAAATTAGTGGAAATGCCAAGTAGTCTCTGTTTACCAATGCTTCAGCTTTTCTTCCATCTGTTTTTAAGAAAATGACCTGCTGGATCTTACCGTCATTTGTAAAGGAATGGAGACACCTATCAGGGACATTATACAATTGACAATCAGAGATAAAACTCCTTAGGCCATCGAATGTTTTCTGTAGCAAGAGCTTCAGCATCGTATGCCATGGTCTGAAGGAAATACAATGCCTGGATTGCCTGGC